TCTTCTGGGAAGTGTCCGCCTGTTGGACATCGCGCCATGTTCGAAACCAGCAAATGCGCGTGCGCCCACCTTGGGACTCGAACCCGCGGCCCCCAGCTTACATGGCTGGCGCTCCACCGACTGCGCTGTGCGGGAGAAGCTTACGAAGGATTTCTGAAAAGCGTCCAGTTGCAAGGTATATGGGGGGCCTATAGAGCCGCTGGGTGGCCCGCGAGAGATGTACGAGGGGCTTCCGATGGGCTCTTGAGGGCATGTGAGAGGATTCTGAGTGGCGTCGGGGGAGCGTAGCATTGTGGAAACATATGTTTTGAGAGCAAATGAGAAGTTGGGCTCTGGTGGGCTTGCAGATAGATTGTGAGAGGCCTCTGATGGGCCGGAAAGACGTCGTGCAATGCGGCGCATGTGGCTGTGACATGTGGCGCCTGTGGCTGTGAAATGTGGCGCCCATGGCTGTGACATGCGGCGCCTGTGGCTGTGAAAATGTGGCGCCTATGGCTGTGGCATGTAGCGCCTGTGGCCGTGAGCATGCGGCGCCTGCGGCTGTGACGTGCGCGGCGCCTGCGGCTGTGAAATGCGGCGCGCTCGGCTGTCATATGTGGCGCCCATGGCTGTGAAATGTGGCGCCAGTGGCTGTGAAATGCGGGGCCTGTGGCTGTGAGATGTGGCGCCTGTGGCTGTGAAATGTGGCGCCTGTTGCTGTGGAACGTGGCGCCTGTGGCTGTGAAATGCGGCGCCTGCGGCTGTGGAATGTGGCGCCTGTTGCTGTGAAATGTGGCGCCCATGGCTGTGCAATGTGGCGCCCGCGACTGTGCGGCGTGGCGCCAGCGGCTGTGCACTTTAGCGCCGGGAGCAGTGCAATGTGGTGCCAGCGGCTGTTCAATGGGACGCCTGCGGCTGTGGGGTGCGGTGCCTGCGCCTGCGCCATGTGGCGTCTGCGCCTGTTCGCGCGTGCCATGCTCACCCGCGTGTTATGCTTGGCGGTTCTGCGATGTGGGGCTTGCCCATGTACGTGCGCATTATGCTTACGCACGTATTAGGCTTGCGTGCGCACTGTGGTCACGCGCGCACCATGCATACTCACTCGCGCATGGGGCGCAGAAACCAAACGCAGCAGATGCGGCCACCACGGGGCTCGAACCGACGACCGCATGCCTGGGGCGCCAGCGCTTTGCTGACTGAGCTAGTCAGGAGAAGGCGATGATATAATTCTGAGAAGCATGCAATGCATCAAATTGACTCCCGCGATGTCCACGAGAGGCTTCCGAGGGATAACTGTCAGTGAGAAGCGCAAGCAGGGCTTGCGAAGGGTTTCTGACGCGGAATTGGAGCGGCGCTCCCGGAGGGCAAATGCGGAGCTGACTCGTGGAAGGCCTGCGAGGAACGAATGAAGCTTCTGAGACGCTTCTGAGAGGCTTCGGCGAATCTTCTGCAAAGCGTTTTCCCGTTGGACATCGCGCCTTGTTCGAAACCGGCAAAATGCGCGCGCGCCCACCTGGGAGCTCGAACCCGTGGCCCCCAGCTTATATGGCTGGCGCTCCGCCGACTGCGCTGGGCGGGAGAAGCTTGCGAGGGATTTCTGAGAAGCGTCCAGTATGCAAGGTATATGGGAGGCTTGTAGAGCCGCTGCGTGGCCCGCGAGAGATTTACGAGGGACTTCCGATGGGCTCTTGAGGGCATGTGGAAGGATTCTGAGAGGCGCCCGGGGAGCGTAGCATTGTGGAACAAATATGTTTTGAGACGCAACTGAGAGGCTGGGTTCTGGGGGGCCTGCAAATGGATCGTGAGACGCCTCTGATGGGCTGATAAGATGGCGCGACATGCGGCGCCTGTGTTTGTGAAATGTGGCGCCTGTGGCTGTGAAGCGCGGCGCCCGTGGGCGTGATCTGTGGCGCCCGTGGCTGTGAAATGTGGCGCCTGTGGCTGTGGCGTGGCGCCCGTGGCTGTGAAATGTGGCCCCCGTGGCTGTGGCGTGGCGCGTGTGGCTGTGAATTGTGGCGCATGTGGCTGTGAAATGCGTGGCGCTTGCGGCTGTGAAATGTGGCGCGCTCGGCTGTGAAACGTGGCGCCTGTGGCTTTGAAATGTGGCGCCTGCGGCTGTGAAGTGTAGCACCTGTGGCTGTGAAATGTGGCGCCTGTGGTTGTGAAATGTGGCGCCTGTGGCTGTCAATTGCGGCGCCTGTGGCTGTGGGCTGCTCGGCGCCTGCGGTTGTGAAATGCGGCGCGCTCGGCTGTGAAATGTGGCGCCTGTGGCTGTGACGTATGGCGCCTGTGACTGTGACATGTGGCGCCCGTGGCTGTGAAATGTGGCGCCTGTGGCTGTGAAATGCGGCGCCTGTGGCGGTGCAATGTGGCGCCTGTGGCTGTGAAATGTGGCGCCTGTGGCTGTGAAATGTGGCGCCTGTGACTGTGCAGTGTGGCGCCCGCGACTGGGCGGCGTGGCGCCAGCGGCTGTGCGCTGTGGCGCCAGTAGCAGCGCAATGTGGTGCCAGCGGCTGTGAATGTGACGCCTGCGCCTGTTCGCACGTGCCATGCTTGCGCGCGTGTTATGCTTGGTGGTCGTGCAATGTGAGGCTTGCCCATGTACGTTCGCATTATGCTCGCGCGCGTACTATGCTTGCGTGCGCAATATGGCCACGTACGCGCCATGCCTACGCACTCGCGCATGGAGCGCAGAAGCCAAACGCAGCAGACGCGGCCACCACGGGGCTCGAACCCACGACCGCCAGCCTAGAGGGCCAGCGCTTTGCTGATTGAACTAGAAGGGAGAAACGTCTGATTGAATTCTGAGAAGCGCATGCAATGCATAAACTTGCCCTCGCGAGGTCCACGAGTGGCTTCCGAGGGAGTGCTGCGAGGGCGGGGCGCAAGCGGAGCTTGCGAAGGGTTTCTGATGCGCAAATGGAACGGCACCTCCGAAAGGCAAATGCGGAGCTGACCCATGGTAGGCCTGCGGGGAACGAATGAAGCCTCTGAGACGCTTCTGAGAGGCTTCGGCGAATCTTCTACAAGGCGTCTTCCCGTTGGAAATCGCGCCATGTCCGAAACGTGCAAAATACGCATGCGCCCACCTGGGGGCCCGAACCCGAGGCACCCAGCTTACATGGCTCGCGCTCCACCGGCTGCGCTAGACGGGAGAAGCTTACGAGGGACTCTTGAAATGCGCCCAGTATGCAAAGTATATAGGAGGCTTATAGAGTCGCCGTGTGGCCCACGAGAGATTTACGAGGGACTTCCGATGGGCTCTTGAGGGCATGTGGAAGGATTCTAAGAGGCGTCAGGGGAGTTCGGCATTGTGGGAAACATGTCTTTTGAGAAGCAAATGAGAAGTTGGGTCCTGGGGGGCTTGCAATTTGATCGTGAGAGGCCTCTGATGGGCCGGAAAGACGTCGTGACATGCGGCGCCTGTGGCTGTGAAGTGTGGCGCCTGTGGCTGTGAAATGTGGCGCCCATGGCTGTGAAATGTGGCGCCTGTGGTTGTGAAGGTGCAGTGTGGCCAGGATGTGCAATGTGACGCACGCAGAGTGCGTTGCCTGCAGCTGCGCAATGTGGCAACCGCGCCTGTACGTACGTACTATGCTTACGTACGTACTATGCTTACGAACGTACTAGGCCCACGTGCTATGTACACTGAATGTGTGACTCCCTCCGTCCACCTCCTGCCCCCCCTTCCTTCTTTTTGACAATCGCGAACGCGCCTTACAGGGTGCCAGATTGCATGGGACACGCCATACAGTACAATCCCATACTACTCTGTACAACGAAATGCCTCCAGCATTTCGCATCCCGAGCCAAAAACCAGGATAATGCTGTATTCTTAATATTTGGGCAGCAGTCGCTCACGGCTGGGTCAGTGGCCTCCTGCGCTCTTGCACCTCCTCCTGCCCCCCCCCCATTCGGAGGCGAGGCATGTGCTATCGTGGGCCCTCTGGGGCTCTCACGGAGCCGTCTTGGAGCACTCTTGGAACATCTGGGGGGGCTATCGGGCCATCCTGGAGTTCGCTGTGACATGTGGCGCCCACGGCTGCGATATCTTTCGACGTCTGTGGCTGTGTAGTGTGGCGCCTGTGGCTGTGAGGTGTGTCCCCCGCAGCTGAAATGCCGCGCCTGTGGCGATGCAACATGGCGCCTGCGGCTGCGCAATTCCGCCCCCTGCGGCTGTGTAATGTGGAGTTTGTGGCTGCGTAGTGTGACGCCTGCAGTTGTGAATTGTGGCGCCTGTGGCTGTGAATTGTGGCGCCTCTGAAATGTGGCGCCTTCGACTGTGAATTGTGTGTCGCTTGTAGTCGTGAAATGTGGTGCCTGTGGCTGTGAAATGTGGCGCCTGTGGCTGTGACATGTGGCGCCTTTGGCTATGAAATGTGGCGCCTGTGGCTGTGAAGTGTGGCGCATGCGGCTGTGAAGTGCTGCGCCCGGCAGGGAAATGCGCGGCGCCTGCGGCTGTGAAATGTGGCGCCCGTGGCTGTGAGATGTGGCGCTTGTAGCTGTGAAATGCGGCGCCTGCGGCTGTGAAATGTGGCGCCTGTGGCTGTGAAATGTTGCGCCTGTGGCTGTGGAGTGCGCGGCTCCTGTGGCTGTGGAATGCAGCGCCCGTGGCTGTGAATTGTGGCGCCCGTGGCTGTGAAATGCGCGGCGCCTGCGGCTGTGAAATGTGGCGCATGTGGTTGCGAAACCTGGCGCCTGTGGCTGTGAAATGTGGCGCTTGTGGCCGTGAAATGTGGCGCCTGTGGTTGCGAAATGTGGCGCCCGTGGCTGTGAAATGTGGCGCCTGTGGCTGTGAAATGTGGCGCATGTGGCTGTGAAATGTGGCGTATGTGGCTGTGAAATGTGGCGCCTGCGGCTGTGAAATGTGGCGCCTATGGCTGTGAAATGTGGCGCCTGTGGCGCCAAACCCCAGAATTCGGAAACTACCATGTAGTTTCCGCATTGTGCGTTTCCTGCGTACTGCGTTGAGTTTACGTGTATGCGCGTGGCATTCTTACGTGCGTAGTGTGCTTGCGTGCGTAATATGCTTCGCGGCTGACATCACATACTTCGTCAGCGTATGCTATGTCATTGCATAGCGCATCCTTTGAACACCATTCGTCGCGCGCTTTACGCACTGACGGTCTTGGGCCTTTACGCGCTGATGGTTTGCTTTACGCGATGCCGCTTTACGCGCTGATGGCCTACACTCGCAACGCCCACCTGCAGCGGACTTCGCACTGTCGCCGATCAGGCGAGCGAAAGCGAGAGCCGTAAAATGTGGGGTAGCTCTGACTAGAACCTAAGCGCGCGAAGCGCGCGTGGTTCTAGTGCTTATATAGTCTCCCCCTGTCCGCCGGGGGACACCGGCGAGGCTGGGAGGGCCGAGGCGGCAACCTTGCGAAAGAAAGAAGCGTCAGGGTTTTTGCATGCTTTTTCAGGTAGAGTGTGTGGGGAGTGCATTTGCTGTGCAACTTGCTTTTCAAGTTCCGCTTGAGAGGTTTGTGGATTTCCAGACGTCGGCTGGGACCCGTGACGGTGAGGTGGAGCCGTACCGAGCCGTCGTGACGCAGTTGGGTACATGCTGTCCGAATCTGCCCCCAAACCTCTCCCATTGGGCGGTGTCAATCGGGCCGTCGTGATACAGGGCCCCGCGCAATTCTGGGAGTCCAGTGAGTCCCCCCTGCACATTCGCCAGTACTGTATGAGTCCAGCTGGAGGAGTGTCTGAGGTGAGACGTGATGCGAGGTCAGATGGGGGCTCGCGATGGTTGAGCCGCGCCCGAAGATACGACTACCTTTTGGATCAGCTTTCATTGTACTGATTGTCCGCGCAGCGTATCGATGCTGCCAGGGAACTGTTTGTTGGCGGGTGGCACAGTCATGAGTTGGATTGAGGTTCGATTCTGAGCAATGCCAATCGCGCGATGATGTATGGAGGGGCGCCCGTGGTTTGCGCGCCGCAGTCGGGCTCTAAGTTGCTTGCAGGTGCACCTTGCTTCCGCCAATCCCGCAGGCAGGCTTCGGCGATCGCTCCTGACATTTCGGTTTTATGTGTCCAGATGGCCGTTGTAAGCGGTTGACCGATTTTCTGTTGGCTTGCATGGAATGCGTATCAAGCTGAAGTCACGATTCCAGAGGCACTGCAAACACACACACACGCATATATACATATATACATATATGTTTACATATGTGTGTGTATATATATGTGTATATATGTATATGTATATATATACATATATATACGTATATAGGTATATCTCGTTATGGAAGTACAATTTTTAACGGGAAAAGTGGTCCTAGAGGTTTTGCGCGAGGTTTTTCCCAACCCTCCTGCGTTGGGTTCTCGTTTTGAATAGAGCACTGCTCGCGCGAACCTTCCTTCCCACCCTCCTTCCTTCCCGTCCCTCTCTTCCCCCCTGCCTTTGACCTCGCCATCCCTGGGGGGCTGCGATCTGTGAAGTTGTCGCCACTTTCGAGGGCTGCTGGGGGGCACAGCACAGTGGGTACACACCGCAGACTCAAATTAGACCTCGCCATCCCTGGGGGGCTGCGATCTGTGAAACTGTCGCCACTTTCGAGGGCTGCTGGGGGGCCCATCACAGTGGGTACACACCGCAGACTCAAATTAGACCTCGCCATCCCTGGGGGGCTGCGATCTGTGAAACTGTCGCCACTTTCGAGGGCTGCTGGGGGGCACAGCACAGTGGGTACACACCGCAGACTCAAATTAGACCTCGCCATCCCTGGGGGGCTGCGATCTGTGAAACTGTCGCCACTTTCGAGGCCTGCTGGGGGGCCCAGCACAGTGGGTACCCACCGCAGACTCAAATTAGACCTCGCCATCCCTGGGGGGCTGCGATCTGTGAAACTGTCGCCACTTTCGAGGGCTGCTGGGGGGCCCAGCACAGTGGGTACCCACCGCAGACTCAAATTAGACCTCGCCATCCCTGGGGGGCTGCGATCTGTGAAACTGTCGCCACTTTCGAGGGCTGCTGGGGGGCAGCAGCACACTCAACCTCGCCAACGATCTGTGAAACACCGCAGACTCCCTTAGACCTCGCCATCCCGTGGGGGCTGCGATCTGTGAAATTGTCGCCACTTTCGAGGGCTGCTGAGGGGCACAGCACAGTGGGTACCCACCCCAGACTCAAATTTGACTTTGCCATCCCTGGGGGGCTGCGATCTGTGAAATAGTCGTCACTTTCGAGGGCTGCTGAGGGGCACGCACAGTGGGTACCCACCGCAGACTCAAATAGACCTCGCCATCCCTGGGGGGCTGCGATCTGTGAAACTGTCGCCACTTTCGAGGGCTGCTGAGGGGCCCAGCACAGTGGGTACCACCGCAGACTCAAATTAGACCTCGCCATCCCTGGGGGGCTGCGATCTGTGAAACTGTCGCCACTTTCGAGGGCTGCTGGGGGGCCAGCACAGTGGGTACCCACCGCAGACTCAAATTAGACCTCGCCATCCCTGGGGGGCTGCGATCTGTGAAACTGTCGCCACTTTCGAGGCCTGCTGGGGGGCACAGCACAGTGGGTACCCACCGCAGACTGACCCGCCATCCCGTGGGGGCTGCGACTGTGAAACTGTCGCAGGGCTGCTTAGTGACCTCGCCATCCCTGGGGGCGATCTGCACTTTCGAGGGCTGCTGAACACACAGTGGGTACCCACCGCAGACTCAAATTAGACCTCGCCATCCCTGGGGGGCTGCGATCTGTGAAACTGTCGCCACTTTCGAGGGCTGCTGGGGGCCCAGCACAGTGGGTACCACCGCAGACTCACCTCGCCATATCTGTGAAACTGTCGCCACTTTCGAATCAGGGGGCTGCGATCTGTGAAATCTGTCGCCATCCCTGGGGGGCTGCGATCTGTGAAACTGTCGCCACTTTCGAGGCTGCTGGGGGCCAGCACAGTGGGTACACACCGCAGACTCAATTAGACCTCGCCATCCCTGGGGGGCTGCGATCTGTGAAACTGTCGCCACTTTCGAGGGCTGCTGAGGGGCCCAGCACAGTGGGTACCCACCGCAGACTCAAATTAGACCTCGCCATCCCTGGGGGGCTGCGATCTGTGAAACTGTCGCCACTTTCGAGGGCTGCTGAGGGGCACAGCACAGTGGGTACCCACCGCAGACTCAAATTAGACGCCGCTTTCGTCCTTGTTCTCCTCCTGCAGTCACCTTCCCTCTGCTGCTGCCGTGCTGATGGTTCGGCTTCCCGCACGTTTTTCTCCTGCTCTGCGTTCCCGACTCCCCATGTCCTCTTCGAGCCTGTAGCTCTCGCCCCTCGTTCTTGTATGGTTCTCCTGCGCATCATGCCATAGGCGCGTGTCCCAAGTAGCTTACACATCAAGTTGATTGTCCTTGCAAGTTTCGGCCAACTCCTCGTTTCCATTGATACAAATGGGTTGGGTACGTCACAGGGTAATGTGCTGGATGTCTTGTGCGGTCTTGTGTTGGCTCTGTTTTGTGAAAGATCTTGGCCACACTGGCGGACTCGTACTGGCACATCTGGTGGACAAGCACCTCTTCACAAGTCGTCTTGTGCGCGTCTTGTGCGCGACCACTCTTCGCTCGACCATTGTTTATGTAAAACACACCTATGTATTCATACACATATACGTCTAGCATAAACCTCTGACGATAACGGCCGTTACTGGGGTTGTGTTGGGGGGGAGGGGCCCAGTCAGGTCGCGATTTGCACCCGTGGGGGGGGATGGGCCCGGTAACGTTGTGGCCCAGGACGACGACGACGACGACGACGACGACGACGGACGTGGTCTGGAAGCTGTCGGGGGCTTCTGGAGGTGCACACATGTCGTGTCTACATCGGCTTTGTGGCGTACTCAGGCACTGAGGCGTTGTGGTGCACACGTGCTGCTGCAGCATTATCTGTGATGTGCACAGGCGTCGTGGTGTACAAAGGCACTGTGGTGAACACAGACCCTGTGGTGCACACGGCTGCTGTGGTGTACACGGGCACTGTGGTGTACACAGGCGCTGTTGTGCGAACATGTGCTGGTGCAGCAGCGCCGGTAGTGTACACAGGCATGGTTGTGTTCACAGTCATGGTGGTGTACACGGGCGTTGTTATTCACAGAGTCCCTGTGGTGTACACAGTTGCTGTGGTGTGCACAGGCGCTTTGGTGTACACGTATGCGGCTGCTGGTGCACGCAAGCATCATTGTCCACGCAAGCGTTGCGGTTCACAGAGGCTGTGTGGTACACACATCCGTTGGGCTCCGTTCGATTTTCGGGCTCCGTTCGGGCTCCGTTCGATTTTCCAGTTTCTGGCCTGGTCTGGACCCTGAAGGTGTATGCTGGCCTTGTGGTGTGCACGGGAATTGTGATGTAGATAATCTATGGTACACCCACACGGTATTGAAGCAGCAGCTGTGGCGCACACGTGCTATGTGGTGTGCTTAGGCACTGGTGCACAGGCGCTGTGGTGCACACGGCTGTTGTGGTGTACACAGGCACTGTGGTCTACACATGCGCTGTGGTGCACAATATGTTGTTTCATGCAGCAGCTATGGTATACAAAGACTTCGTGGTGTACGCAGCCATTGCTGTGTACACAAGCAATGTGTTGTATGCAAGCGTTTTGGTGTGCATACAGCGAGGTCTGTACACGCCTTGTGGTGTACGCAGGCTCTGGTGCGCACAAAATGTTGTGCACAGAGGTCCTGTGGTGTACGCAGCCCTTGTAGAACACCGACGCAATTTTGCACGCACGCGCTGCGGTGTACAGAGGCAGTGTGATGTACACCAGAATCCATCTTCACACTGGCCCAGTAGTGCACGCAAGTACTGCTGGGTTGACAGGCGCTGTGGTGCCCCTGGGGTACCGCAGGTGCTGCGCCAGTGCTGGCCTCCAGCGCCGAGGAGGGAGGATTTCACGGGTTTCGTGTCGGGGTGCGTTCCCAAAGGGGCTGCTCCTCGTGCCTGGCCAAGCATGCAGAGTTCTTCTGCTCACACTGGGGTCGAGGGCGCCTGGAGCGAGTCACCTGGGCGTAAAGAGGCGCATGCATGCTGGAGGTGCCGCTGCTGGGGCTAGACATGCTGACCAACTCCAGTAGGCTCCCAATTCATTCGGCATCTCAGGGGCCGATCGGGATCTTCTTGGAGGTCGTTCGGGAGCTTGTCGGGGGTCTCATGTCATGGGGCATGCTGCTTGCAAGTAACTCAGTGGTTGTGCATTGCCCTTGCTCGTCATGCTTGCGCAGTGTGATTTCAAGATGCCCTTGCACACGGGATATAACATGCTGCTTGCACACTGTTTGCGCTCGGCATGCTTGCACTTTACGTTTGAAACGTTGATGGCACACGATGGGAGCACCTTGCGATTGCCCATCAGGCCGTTGAGCTTGCACATTATGCATGCAGAGTGTGCTTGCACACTATGATTGCATGGCGGACGCTGGCGGCGCATCACAGTTGCCCTTTGGTAGTTTGGTGAAGTTGCGCGCAGCATGGAGCTTCGAGACGTGTCGCGTATCCCAACCAGCCTTGTCGGGGGCCTTCGGAGGCATCTGGGGGGCCTCTTGCGGGCCTCTTGGGAGTCTGGGGGCCGTCTTCGGGGGCCCCTTGAGGGTTTCTGGGGTGCTTTTGTGGTTCTGTTGGGTGCTTAGGGGCTGTCTTGACCGCGAAAGTTTTACAGCATTCTCTCGAAGAGGCTCGGTGAACCGAGGTTTGGCAGCCCAGGCGGGTCCCGCGTCGGTCTTTTGTGGTGGGGCCGTCTTGGGCCGCCCCGGGCTCGTCGCGGGGCTCTCAGAAGTCTTCCGAGGCCAACTTTCACTGGCCTGAGACATACCCATACTGGGGCTCCCTCCTCCTCCTCCTCCTCCTCCTCCTCCTCCTCTTCCTCCTCCTCCTCCCTCCTCCTCCCTCCTCCTCCCTCCTCCTCCCTCCTCCTCCTCCTCCTCCTCCTCCTCCCCCTCCTCCTCCTCCCTGGGCACCGCCTTCCGTCGGTGCCGATCTCGATGGCTCCCTCAGCTCCTGAGGACGCACCCCCGAGGCTGCCATCGCCCCTCGCCTGGTCGACCCCTGGGGGCAGGGGACCGCCGGAGAAGCTCGGAGGCGGAAGCCATCCTCCTGCGCTTCTGCGCGGGGCCGTCGAGGGTCTCGCCGGAGGCCTCCCGGGGC